TTAAATATTTAAAAGAAATGTATAAGTATAAAACTGTTGTAATAATAATAATGTACAGTTTAAGTCTCTACAATTTTTTTGTAAAATCATTCTTTTAAGAGTTATAATTAATTATATTAAAAAAATAACGATTTTGAAGATTTTTTTGTTATTAAAACTTTAGAGCTTTTGCGGCACGGGTTAAAGTTAATCATTTTGTCCAAAAATTTTTTCTCGTGGCTTTTTTAAGTAATAGAACCGATTTTAGGGCGGTAACTTGAACATTTTGGAATTTTTTTTACTTCATCTATACCAGAGGACCACCCTAATGTAGAAAGATTTTTTAAATACATTTAATATTTATATATGTCACCGGCAATATGGCCCGGATGATTCAGGTATTTTGAAAAATGCCTATGCATTATGTATATTGCCGACGTATTTCAGGCAATGTAAATAAAACATATGATTTTCAATATTATTTTATGTATATTGTATAACCTAGGTATTTTATTAAATACATGGGCGTTTTGTAAAATACCAATTTTTTTTAGGCAAAGTAAAAAACAATTTATTAAAGTTTATAATAATAAATAATAATAATAATATAAAGATTCTTATAATTATTATGTATTATTACTCATATTACAAAATGTATTATTTAATGTATATCTAAAATAATTATGTTTTTACACATAGGTATTGCCATATTGTTAATATTATTGTTATATTAAATAATGTTATGTACACATTAAATTAAAGTACTAGCTACTTATTACAACATGTTGTAGAAAATAGCATTTTGTATTGCACAAAACATTATTCTTAAGGAAAATGCACTTTTCATTTTGACACTTAGTCCTACAAACACATTTAAAAAATCATTGGCCAGTAATAGTTCCTATCGACTGTTCATAACGCCACTTCTGTGTCGGTTAGAGCCACTTAATTTTGTAGTAGCTTTTTCTGACATACTGTGAACTGACTTCTGGCGTATAGCCGCGTCTGAACTTCAAAATTTTAATCCTTATTGCATCAAATCGTGCACACACGGACACGGTAGGCGTATTTACAATAAACTATAAGTTAAGTCGTTGGTAATAAGCGATACCCTGCAATTTTGTTTATTTTTTTCATAACTCCTACTCCACGTTGAGCATTATACATAATATCTAGGCAAAGCTCGTATTATGTATATTTCCGAGTGATTTTTGGCATTTTATATACTGTCTTGGTATTTTGCAAAATACCGGATTATACACATTGCAGGTAACATATATAATACATATAATAAAGTACTTATACAATGTCATTAAAACATTATTTTATATTTATTATTAAATTGTTAACACTGACTTTACTTACCATAAAATAAACATGAACATATTAACCAGGAATACGTCACTTTCATTGCCAATGGGGAGCTGAGATTAATGTAAATATATTGAAAAATCTAAACAATAAATGTTTATTCATAAGTTCTATCCAATTAATAAAACTATATCCTAACCGATAGTTAAACACTAATTGACAAACATAGGTATAGTTAAATAGGGGAAATTATGCGTATATACTATTATAATATATAAATATGCAAGACAATACTTATAGAAAATTTAGTAATTTTTATTTTTTAACATTATGTGATAACACTAAGTAAGAGACGATAATACCAATAGGACTATATAACACATAATGTCGGATCGTTTTACTACTAACTCAGGATACTAGTGTGTAGTCGTTGTAGACATACGATCACATGATAAGCTGAAGGACGAACTACGTAGAAAGAAGGTCATGAAAAAATGAATTAATTACAAACTTGTTTTAAAATTGTTTCTATTGGTCCTATACTACTTCAAAAAACACAACTTAAGGTTTTTCAACCTACCTATTTTATTATGTTTGCAAGACTGATTATTCAGATTGTATATGTACAAAATACATACTCATATGTACAACACAAACAATAATTAAATATTATTCGTTTAATGTTCTATATTACTTACGTGGTGTATACTATACAAAGTATTCATAAATTGCAATAAATAAAATCGGTTATATTATGCATGTTGTTCGTTTGATATGATGAATAAAGGAAATCGTTATACAGTTACTCTAGAAATGGAATATAAATTGATTCCAATTATTTATCTATGGAATTTAATGTAAATTATAAAAGAAACTTCATGAATTATTTTAACTTCTATATATTTAATATCCTTTCATTGATAAAGTAAAATTAGGTAGATAAGTATATTTTTAGACAATTTAAAAAAGTTAAATTGTTACAATTGAAATAAATGACCAATACAACTTTTAATTGATTTTATCTCATCGTTGATCAATAATTTCTAGTACCTATCTCAAATGACATTGTATTTTTTTCTATTACGTTGCGATATTCTAACAATAGAGTACCTAGTACTGTATTGATATTATCACACGGCGTAATAGATAGACTATTTAGCTACGCCCGTGATTTGGGTTATTTTACATCTCATTTTAACTATAAGTTTTGTAATATATTATAATGTGATTAAAAATTATTTGATTTGATTTATTTATTTAAAAGATTAAAAGTTTAAAGAAAAGACAAATTTGTTAAGTGTTTATTTTATAAACTCATAACAAAATGAACATATTTTTGAAAATAGTATTCCCGATTACATAAAAAAAATTACATAACCTACTCTCTAATGATAATATCTTACGTAGGTACTTAAAACTTAAATTTTGTTACCCCCCATAATTTTCAAGAAGTCAACTAATTTTTTTATCTTGTTTTCTATATGAACATTAATTATTAATAAGTAGTATTAAATAATATATTTTTTTCTCACGTATGATAGTTTTGAATTAGATATATATTATTATTTCAAATATAATGCACAATAGTGTTAATAATTATTAATAATTCATGTACAATGTATAATTTTTCAGTATTTTGGAGTTTAATAATTTTCAATTATAATATAATTTATAATGTTTTTGTACTACATAATAATATGTGTTATGAAAAATGTACATTTTATTAATATTATGTCTGATTAAAATGAATATAGTAGGAACACTAAAAAATTGTTACACATATGTAAAAACCTATTTGTACAAAATAAATAGATTTAAATTTTAATTGGAATACATTATTCTAATAACATTACCCTTTAGCATAATCCTATTGAATATAATTATATTTGTTGTACAGTCCACGAATCCATTGAATGTGATACTTAACGTCAGTGAAAACTGCAATTGAATTATTTGTATTTGGATCCTTGATACTCGCTACTCCGGTTAAATAATACAATTCAGAGTGGAAAAAGCATAAGCCAGCCCCGCTATCTCCCCTACCCACTCCTTGACCTGAAACTAAAAACATTTTATAAATAACACCTAAATTATTCATACGCATTCATAGGTCTGTTATTGGGTACTAGATACAATACTGTTTTAACTTTTTGATTACAAATCATCTACAAGTACTTTATTACAAGGATATGTGATGTAGAAGGTTAAAGATTGTATTAGTATGAAATACATGTGGCAGATGTAGTTTGAACCATACAGTATAGTGGTGTTTTGTACAAATATCCACACTGACGTGTATATATTTATAAAACTATGTATTACCTGATTCAGAACCGGCACAAAACTTATCAACAGTTACAAATGGTTCAAATCCGTTAGTATACATATTTCGGCATGAACTGTGGTCAATATATGGTAAATATGCTTCTAATAAAATAGGACTTGGAATGCCTTTTTCCGTTTTTCCCCAACCAACAATCTGTGAAAGTAAAAAAGTATAAAAGAATAAAGTTCAAAATATTAAAATAAATGAGTCATATTAATCTATGAGTGTATTGGAAATTTGTATAATTAATTAAATCAATTCTGACTGATCGAAGTTTTTTAATTTTGAACCTCAATCAAATATAAAATAAAAATAAAGTTAAAGGGTTTTACGGAAACTGGTATTTTCATTTTAACATTTTATTTTAGATTCTGAGTAGAGCTATTGGTTTCACTATGATGTGTGGTTTCTATTATTGTCTGAAGACGTCTTTTTCTAGTTGAAATAATAATTAGATCTTCTACTTCAGCATCATTCCTGATGGGAAAGCTATTCTAAGTATTCTAGTTGGTACTTTTGAAAGGTTAACGATGAAAATTCATAATAGTTCTCAAAAGTGCTGAGAAAAAAACATATCAGATCACATCAGAGCAGATATTTATTACACTGAGGTATACCTTGTAACACGATAATATTTAAGCAATCTAATGGTAATTGCTCTTTACAACCAAAAAGTCTTCAATGATTGGTAATATATATTTATGCATGAATTAACTGTAAGAAAATCCCAATTAAAAAAATTAAATGATACGGAAAACAAACCTTTCCTTGATCGCCATTGACCACATTGTATTTACTATTCCAATCGATACAAATAGGTGCCACACCATTACTAAAAGAAACTCTGTGTCTTAACACAATAATAGCTATATCTTCAGCATGAAACCCAGATGCTCC